TAAAAAGATGATATTCGTTTGTATTATTCATATCGTTATGCAGGTTTTTGGTATCACAATTTATTTCAATTCAACTGATACAATAACTACAATTCAACTTTAACAATAACTATCCAACTGATAACATTAACGTTTAACGTCTATCATAAAACTGAAACTCTGACGTCAGGTCGTCGACTTATATAGCTTGCCTCGACCTTCTAGAACCTTCTCGAACAATCCGGACTTTTCTTTGACAAGGAATGACATTTCGAGACATTTCTGGACTATTCTATCTTCTTTATTTACTCGTACCTTTACTTATGACGACCGCAGTACGCTACAGGGTGCTGCGTAACAATATTTTGTCTGCAAAATGGTTTCATAATTTTGTTAAGTGGCAATTGTATTAAAAAAAAAAATAAATTCTAATAGTCCTAGAGCCAACTTGCAGGTTTATGACTTATTTTCTTATGGCTGAATTTATTATTAAATCATACTACGTTCAGACTGTGGCGTTTAAGTAGTGATAGGCATTACAAGTGGTAAGTGCCTCTCAAAAAATTATTTTCTTAGAATTTTCGTTATGGTCAATCGACGATATGTGCCCATCTGTAAGAAATATTAAACATTTCACTAATTTCAGTGGGACATTTTTGTAGTGCGTGAGAAAGCATGCGCGTGACTTATTTTCTTATGACTGGTTTTTGGTTTATTTTCAATTTTTTGTTGTTTTTCACCATTTTCGCTGTGCCTTTTTTTCTCACCAACGTTTTAAAGTGATGCGCGAGTGAACGTACGAGTGTGACTTATTTTCTTATAGCTGAATTTATTATTAAAACGTACTACGTAGTAAGATATATGTCTCCAACGATTTTACGAAAGCGTGAGGTTCAGGCCGGGGCGCTTACGTAGTTATATACATTACAAATAGTACGGCCCTCTTGAAAATTGAATTATTTTCTTAACATTTTCATTGTGATCGTTCGATGATAAGTGCTCATCTACAAGACATATTAAACCCTCCACCAATTTCGCTGGGCCATTTTTCTCTCTCCAACGTTTTAAAGTAGTACGTGAGTGGGCATGCACGTGACTTATTTTCTTATAGCTGATTTTTGGTTTATTTTAAAGTTTTTATGCGTTCAACAAAATTCACCTCCTCCACTAATTTCGCTGGGGCATTTTTTTTCTCCAACGTTTCATTGTTTTAATGTGTCCAATAAGGATATTGGTCCGTTTTTAGTGTCCAACGAAAATAAAGAAGTACAAATAATAAATATGTTTTTATATAAACGCAATAACTTGACATAGTATTTTTGACTAGGTTTTGAAGATGCTGCAAACGAATTAGCTTACAATATTTAAAAATCTTTACTAGCCATTTTTAAGGTCTAAATTGTATTGTTTATTATAAAAAACAATGTTAATAATATTTTTATTGTTTATTTGTAATGGACACTAATTCAGTGAAAAAGATATGTCTTTTATCTTGCTTTGGTATAAGCGTTCACTTTTTAAAATAAGTCACAAGCATAACAAAAACTTAAAAATAAACCAAAAACCAGCCATAAGAAAATAAGTCACGGGCACGTCTTATCACGCACTACTTTAAAACGTTGGAGAGAAAAAATGGCCCACCGAAATTGATGGAAGGTTTAATATTTCTTGAAGGTGGACACTTATCGTCGAATGAGCATAACGAAAATGTTAAGAGAATAAGTCAAGTTTTTGAGAGACACTTGTAATGCCTATAGCTACTTAAGCGCCCCAGTCTGAACGTCGCGCTTTTGTGAATTCGTTGAACAGGTATCATAGCACAATTTAATAATAAATTCAGCCATAAGAATATAAGTCACAAATCTGCACGTTGGCTGCAGGACTATAAGCTTGTATATTTTAGCCAAATGTGTTTTATGTTTTTGTTAAGTGACAAAAAATGCTAATATAGTCCAGATTTAATATTTTTCACAACCACCTTGAATATAATTTAATTTTCAATAACAAATAAATTTACCTTGATAATGACGTACTGTTATAATTGGGAGGCACATTATTTTTTATACTGCAATAATTTAAACTAAAAAATATAGAAGAATACATACGATATTGTAAGACTTTTATTTATATAAATTAAACAGGTACTGAATTATTATAAGAAACTGAAAAAAATATAATTGTTCTAATATGAATGGAATAAATATCAAGCGTCGTATTTAGTATGCAGTAGAACAAACTATAGTCTATAGCACGGTTCACAGACAACACGGTGGCCTCTTCCGGCCGTTGCTAAGGAAGGGTGTGACGTCACGGAATGAAAAATCGAGCAGACAGAAAATATTCTGCTGCGGTTCGTACATTAGTTTTTTAAAAATCTATTATTTTATTAATATTTAGTAGTGTTTATATTTTTATTATTGGACTATATACCTGTGTTGGAGTTTTTATAAAATCGGTAATTTGATTTTTTGAAAGACAAGCTATAAAACGGCATGGAAAAATCATGTAATGCTTTTCATCAAATTTCAAATAAATTACTTTTTATTTGAATTATAAAGATAAATATTATTGTGTGAATGGGATATAAACAAAGTGTAATCCGAATTCAGCTCTGAGGCCGTACCCTAATCCAAAATGTTTAAAATAAACCATTCACACAATATAATATTTCTCTTTATAATTCAAATAAAATGTAATTCATTTGAAAATTGATGGAAAGCATTACATGATTTTTCTATGCGGTTTTGTAGCTTGTCTTTTAAAAAATCAAATTACCGATTTTATAAAAACTCCAACACAGGTATATAGTCCAATAATAAAAATAGAAACACTACTAAATATTAATAAAATATTAGATTTTTAAAAGACTAATGTACGATTCCAAGTAGAATATTTTCTGTCAACTCGTCCTTAGCAACCGTGATGAGGCCACCGTGTTGTCTAAGAACCGTGAGTCTAGAGTAGAGATACATAGAAAAGTATCGATACTGCATATCGATTCAGATCTAAGTTTAATGTATCGGTTCACTTTGATATAGTAAACAACAGTATCAGTACTCAAAATATCGAAATGATATACTAATATACATAGTACAAGTAAATTTATTTTAAAATAGTGAAGTGAACAAATCATATACGGAAGTACATATAAATATTGTTAATGTGTTAATTAAAAAAATATATTTAAACTGAACTAATGTATGTTTAGTATCTTATCCATAGATGGCAGGGTTTAATTTCGTCATTAGTGATGCATACGTGTTATTTTATTTTCGATACGATTTAACATATTATGTCGTAGAATATCGATACAAAATATCAAGTTTCGAAATCCTGAATATCTAGTCTAGAGAAAAAAGGGATGCAGTGAACGTAGCATATGTTCAAGAGGTAGACATTTTATTTATACCTTATCCTTCAATGCTTGTTTGTAGATAAAATGAAAATTTTAATACATCTGATCGGCCTAATAAAAGTTTTCGTTTAGATTTAATCATGTTTCCATGGTTTTTACGGTAATAATATTTATTAATATTTGTTAATATTTATTTATTAATATTTATTAATGTTTATTAATATTTATTAATATTTATTAATATTTATTAATATTTATAAATATTTGTTAATATTTGTTAATATTTGTTAATATTTGTTAATATTTATTAATATTTATTAATATTTATTAATATTTATTAATATTTATTTATATTTATTTATATTTATTAATATTTATTAATATTTATTAATATTTATTAATATTTATTTATATTTATTAATTTTTTATTAATTAATTTTTAATTATCTATTTTCTATTTATTTTTACGATACTCCCCATTTCCCTCTTCTTAAAATGTGAAAATTAAAAACGCTTGAAATAAGTCATTATTTAACAGCATCCATCCATCCATCCAAACTTTCGCATTTATATATTAGTAGGATTTTCATCTACAAAAAATATTACATGAATTAAATTTGCTTTTCAAAAAACGTGACACAAATAGCTTTTTAACAGAGAAAGACGAAAATCAATGCGTGGAGACATGAGTATTTAAGGAAAATAGCGGACGCAAGGAACCAACCAACTTCGTTATTGTTTTGGATAATGCATCCTATCACAATCAATTAAAGGAGTCTACCTACAACAAAGAAGATATTTCGAAATGACTTCATTCTAAAAATATTATCAGTCCTCCTAAATACTTGAAGGCAGAATTACTCGTAATAGCAAGGCAATATAAAAACAAATTCACAAATATGTTATAGATGAGAAGGCCCGAGAAAAAGGAATTGAAATTCTCAACACGCGAGTTAATCATTTAAATTACCTGACGTGCGAAATTTGTTTTTGAATGCAGTTTCAGATGTAAATGAAGAACATTGGAAAAATGCATTGATCATGTTAAAAAGGTGAAAAAATCATTTTGGAAAGTGGATATTGCAATGGAAAACTTAATAGACCCTATAATAATAAATCTCAGAAAAAACAATGCAAATGATACCAATAGTTATAGTGAAGACAGTGACTTTTAGAGATAGTTCTTGAACTTTTAATTTTTTTTAGGTTTGATTTTAGGTACCTACTGAAGTGTTACTTTTAATGCCAAGAGATTAAAAAAAAATTAATTCGTTCAGTAAGTGCAACAATTTTGTCATAAGAATAAGGTTTATTTTTATTTTTTTGTAAATAAATAATATAAACTTTTTTCATTCAAACTTATTCTACAAAGTGCGTATATTCCACTTGATATGCCGTGACCTTATTTATAGTATAGAAACTAATTTTGAAAAGTACGCATATAGAATGTGACGTTATATCCCCACTTTTACTGAACTCTTCTTTTATTCAGTCTATAATGTAAGAAAATCTGCTATATTTACTTAAATACTGTAATTGAGACAAGTTACCTATGAAATGATTTTGATTGCTGGGTCCTGGAGTAAAAATAAGGAAAGGAAAATAAAATTGTTGATTTATACATGATAGGAAAAGAAAATAATCGACAACGAATGTATATACTTACATTGACCATGGCATTCGAAGCGATCCTAAACAGCGTCGCTCTCTCGCACACCTCCTTGTTCTTCCCCTGTAACAATTCTGGATCCGGATTCGTTTCAATTTCCCCTAAAGATTTGGCTAAATTCTTCCAGTGCTTGGCCAGTACGTCGGCGCACGTTTGCAAATCATTCAGCTGCGATTCAATTTTTCTAACTACGCCCGACCAGTCTTCTAAATCACCGGAATCGTCGATTTCTTCGTCTTCTTCCGATTCCATGTTCCTTCTGAAACGCAAAAAAACATTTGAGAAACGTATACATACATGAGTGAATTTAAAGAAATGATAATTTTTATTTTTTGTCCGATATTTTGATTCTCCCTGTAGATATCAAAGGTTTCTTGACACCATTTTAATGGGCACAAAACTGCGCAACTTTTGTATAATTTAACCAACTTTCTATCGGGTACCATTTAAGAAATAGCAGTACTGTCCCTATGAAATAGTAAGGATCCTGTACATTCATTGCTAACGAAAGTACTAAAATATTAAAATTTTGCACTTTTCCTAAAATGTTTCCATTATACTTCATTTTAGAGGAATCATGAAAAAACTCGAATTGTAATTGATACAAATAGGCCTTTTCATCATGTGATGAGCGCAAGCGCAGCCGCCATGTTGAAATAGCGCCAATTCAAAAGTTTCGTACTGTTTTGATCAACAATGGCTGGAAAAGCAATATTATCTCTACATACAAATCAATCATTAGAAAAAATCGTTGATGGTAGAGGGGCTTATAATAAAATAAAAACAAATGCAAGCTGGCGGGGGTTTAAGTAAAGTTTTAGGGGTTCGAAAAGGGGTAAAAAAATGGTATTATTGCGATTTCCAGCTAAACAAAAATTTATAATGCAATAGCAAAAATCTACAGCTTTTGTAGAGGTCACTTTTTAACATAACTTCATCATTTTCAATAAAAAGGCAAAAGTTTGTTCAAATTTTTGTTTTTCGTTTTTCATTTTTCCTTTTTTCAAAAATAATTCAATTTTGATGAAATTTGTAGAAATTATACCTGTGTGTCTTAAATAAGCAAAAAAAGCAACTGTTTTTTATTTTTGACCAGAATTCCAATTTTTGTATACAGGGTGGGGACTTTAACTGGAACTAATTCGCTAGAGCCACAGGATAAAATATTTGGATTAAACGCAAAAACAGGTCGATTGAGTTTTTTTGTGGGCTTTCCTATCGTAAAAAAAATTCCCCCGCTTTTAAATGGTGAAACCTAACCTCACTTCATTTTTTTAAATGGGATGATACTACTTGTGGAACCTTGTTTGAAAGCTATTTTATAAAGAAATTATACTTTTGCATTATACATTTTTGTTTTTGAGGTCGACTTTCACCGGAAATTGCGATACCATTTTTCATCCCTTTTCAACCCCCTAAAACTTTACTTCAGGTTGCATTTATTTTTTATTTACTTATTACAAGCCCCTTTACCATTTATACTTATCAAAGTCCTGTTAACACTTTTTTTCTCAAAGTTTAATTTGATTGGACTATTATATCACAGACCAGTGGCACGTGCCCTAGTATAATAAACAAAAATAAAATAACATATATTTTATATTTTCCTCAATGCCTATTATTATTTTATCTAATATTCAGCGCAAACCGTGTTGGCACGACACTGGACGACCGGGCGTTGAGCGACGTTCCGAGAATTCCGAAATTAAGTGGAAGATGGGCACAGTAAATGTGTGCCTCTGTATTCTCTCTTATTATGATGCGAAAAACAAGGACAACGACAATATCGCTTAGCAAGAAATGAACACATGCGATGGATTATACGTCACAAGCGGGGCGCTGTCCTTATCGTGACGTGCTGTACCCATGGCACAGATTACCTAGACCAGATACGAATGTACGCAGCGGCATCTTTACCGGCTCCCTCACAAAGACGATGCCGGTTTCGGCTTAAGGTGCGCGTTTTTTGGACCATGATAATAATTTATTTATTGTAATTATAAAAAAACGTTAGTTGGATCATTGGAATAATTAAGAAATAAAACTACAAAGAAAAATAACTTTTTTTTATAAAGCAGTCAAAAATATGATGAAAAAAAAAATCAATAATATTTATAAATGGGACAAAATTATAATTTTTCTTTTGATTTTGTCTGACTTTTTCGAGGATTTCAAATCTCTGTTTGCATATTTATAAGTAATTTAATGGTGTAAATTTTCGCAAATTGTTGGCAGGGATGACCAAATTCTATTTTGCTCATCTCAAAAAGGTAAGCGTTGGAAATTCCAGGCTTAGTTGACAAACTATCAAATAGAGATATAAATATTTTAACACCTTTTCTTCAGAATCGTATGCTTTAAAATGCTCCTACACTATGGAATTTTACATCGAAGTGTCAATACTATTTATGTTTATAAAGAGGATTTTATTAAATGTCTCGAAGAAATTATGAACACAGAATTCGATAAAAAAACTATTAATCAGACTAAAGGGTTGATACATTTTGAAATACAGATTTTAGTTTCTGGTTATTTTTCTTCAGCAAAATAATGCTAAATTGCGATATACTTTTTGATCAACTGCAGAGTAGACAGCTTGATGCTCTCAAGGTTAAGATAAACATATCAAATTTTTCAGCAGCTATTCAAAATATTGGAAATAATATAGACACGCTAATTCATGAAGAATGGCAATCACAACAAGACCCACAAGAACTAAACTTAAACGACAACACCCAATCAGGTCCAAGTACAAGCAAGAAGAGACGGTTTGTCGAAAAGGAGGACCTCATTCCTAATTTAAGGATATGTAGGTAAATGAACGTTTTAGTTTTACTACCCACCTAACAATTGCAAGTTTATTTGATAGTGCAAAATTTAAAGACTACCGAGGTTGTTTTCCAAATGAGGACGTTGAAACTGTGTGTAGTTTATTTCCAAACGTAAACAGCTTAAAATTCAAAAACGAACTGTCCATACTTTACACCCGAGATGACTTTGTGCAACACAATAGGGCCGTACCGTTATTACAAATGTTTTTGAGGACAATTTGACAATTACATTTTCGGAATCTGTGGAGCTGCTAACTATCCTGTGTATAATTCCCATGGCCACAGTGGAGAGTGAAAGATGTTTTTCGACACTAAAACGTATTAAAACATTTTTAAGGAACACTATGTGCCAAGATAGATTGTGCGCGTTAGCCATGTTATCCATCGAAAAAAAAAACTTATTCGGTCCATTCCAAATTTTAATAATCTGGTCATCGATCACTTCGCTAGCCAAAAATCCAGAAGAATGGACTTCAATTATAAGAAATAGTATACAACTGCAGCGGTACCTAGCAGTTAGTCTTCAATTTTGTAATATTTAATTTGTTTTCCTAAGGGAAAAGCGAATCCCGGGATTTATTTCCAGTGTGTGCCCCACTGCCGCTAGTGCACGAGCCGCCACTGTCACAGACTTTAATTTTATGCAGTAAAATTACAAACAATTTGAAATTTCAACATTGACATAAATTTTTACACTTTAATAAAAGTTGCTAGATTGTGTTTATAGTTGCCAGTTCAAAAATTAAACCTCAAAAAGAAACTCAATGATTGGTTAGGATAGCGACATATGAAACTCTATTTTGTTTTATTGTTTTACAGAATTGATTAGATACTACACGATTATTTAACTAAAATGTTTCCTAATTAGTTTAGGAACATATTTTGAGACGTAAAATCACTTCAATGAAATAATAACAGTTCAAAAACTAGATAATTAATAATAATAATAGTATATTATTAGCCAATAACGGATGTACAATAATTCACAATATAAAAATATAATAACAGTAAATAGGTACATAAAAGGTCGAGTGACCAATTTTGCCCTAATAAATATACAGGGTGGGTCACCCAAAACGCCTCGGTCAGTAGGGCCAAAATTCATTGTTTTTTTTAATCTGTTTTGCACAGCGAGTTGTATATCAGAAAAGAAAACAATTTATAAATAATTTCAATTATACAGGGTTTTCCAGGAAAGTGATACATATCAAACTATTTTATTCTATATTTGAATATCCTTCACTTTTCCCATTATGTTAAAATACTAAATTGTATGGGATTACACAAGGAATTTCACAAGCTAGTTTTATATGAAAATTGTATTGACTTCAGCATGTATATTGAAAAAAAAAAAAAAAAAACAATTGAGAACCGTTTTTTACGCTAAAAGTTTTTCTGTTTTTCGGTTTTTCGATATTAGTCCACATTTATGTTGACGCACTATTTTTTGCAATTCGAAACAAATCTGTATAGGGTGAGTCAAAACAAATCTATTATAAATTATAAACTAAAGCTTTATTCCGGCCTGCGGTGAGATAATTAGATTTTCTCCAAATAAAACTTCCTTATAATACATATTATTCTCTATTATTTTTGCCCTATACAAAATTTTTATAACATATTCGAGAAATTTGACAAACAGTGCTAAATTCGAATTTAAAAAAAAATATTCAAATAAAAGTTGTTTGTAGTGTCATCCTCTATAATTCTTTTCCCATACAAAATTTCTCTAAAATGGACCGTATTCGAGATATTTGAGAAAAAGTGCAAATTTTGAATTTTGAATGTAACATAAAACGGAACAAGAGAAAAATATCAAATTTTAAATTTAATCTATCCTGTGGTAAACAGATTAAATGTTGGACATAGTCGGAACATCTGGTGGTACTTTATATGAGGTAGTTTTTTTACTTTATGGAATACATTTGGAAAAACATTCTTTAAATAAAACTTGCTTGTAATGTTATTCCCTATAATTTTTACGGGCGTAAAGTTATCCACATGCACAAATGTACACTGAGAAAAATACAGCGCCATTGTAATAGTCATATAACTTAATTCAAATGACATGTAGAAGCTTTTCATTTGCAGATTTCAATTGGGGAGGTTTCAATACATAACAACCATACCCGCAATAAACTTTTGCTCCATCTGAGGGGTGCAATTGGGGGTGAATTATAAAAAAAATCATAGAAGCCACAAATGGCATTGTACACCTTTCAGCTTGGGATATGTTACATAGTTTGCTATTGTCTTCATCCCTGATACCATGCTGAAGTTTGTCGAGTCGTCTGAGGGGGTGAATTTGGGGGTGAAATTAAAAAAAAATCATAAAAATGGCTTTGTACACCTTTCTGCTTGGGATGTTATGTAGTTTGCTCTTTTCTTCATCCCTGATTCTATGCTGG